ATGTTGAATCAAAAATATTGTAGAAAATAAAATTGTTTTGTGAAAATAATAATAATAATAATAATATATAGAAGTATCCTATAAAAAATAAATTAAAAAGAAAACAAAAAAGAACCCTGAGAAATAAAATGGAAAATAAAGTAAAGAATGAAGAAATAAATTTCGCATCTCGAACGAATAACAAGGGGGGAAAAAAAACGAAAAAAAATAAACAAACTAAGAGAGTAGGGGAAAAGAAGAAAAAAAAAAATGAAATCTCTTAGTTGTAATAATTTGTGCATTGAGTTTTGTTAATGTGCCTAGACAAATGGTATCTCCTTTTGAATCTTTTCCTACAAATGGGACAACCGTAGACGCGTTGTTTTTGGCACTCGATTTGATGTCGTTTTATATATTTCTTCTTTGTATAATTTTTACCGCAATCGGGATAGGTTATCAGGTCGATTCTCATCCCTGACGAATTAACTTTCGTACCTTTATTTTTTCTTCTGTTACCAATGTTACTCGAATCTGAAATTTACAAACAAAAAAAGGATTAGAATATTTCTTTTTTTTTTCAAAAAGAAAAAGGAGAAACAATTGTTATTTCGATTGTTCGTTCGTTTTTTTTTGCATGTAATATATTATGTTAAATATTTGTTTTTAATTTAATATAATTTAATTTAATTTAATTTAATTTTTATCCACGTCACACAACAATCACCACAACTTGCAGGATTTATTATTTACGATCAAAGGGAAAAGTTATATAAGTTTTCATTATATCACAATAGAATAGAATAATTTAATATAGAATCATTAATGTTAATATTGTTTTTTAAGATAGGTCTTAATATTGAATTTTACAATGATAAGAGGGCAATTGTTTAGACGTTTTAGTTGCAGAAACAGATTTATTGTTAATAATTAATTAATGTTAACGATTACGAGATATAAAACTTTATCTCATTTTTTTGTATTACTCTTATAGGATACTTACGAATGCTGAAATATCAAGAATTGTATATCATTTATATTTGTATTATTTATTCATTTTTGATGAATTCTTACAACCCTACCCCCATACCCCTCTTCCTCCTCTTTCTCATCATCCCTATTATTATTATTTTGTCTCATTTAAGATTTTGTAGTATACATTCTGTTGTATTACACAAAATCTTTTGTTGTATTATAAAAATGTAATAATACACAGATTTTGATTAACATTCTAAAGGGATTATTAATGAATGTGTAAATGAAATTGATTGTTCTTACTAATTGACTGTTTCGATTCATATCTGCAGCCCAGTCTTAGGTGTCTTTTCAACGATGACTTCAATTGATAATTATTCGAGCAATAAACACATTTATAGAAGCCACTCGATAGATTTATTTTCCTTGTCATCTGCAGCAACAGCGGCACTGTCAAACAGAAAAGAAAATAACAAATATCAGTTCGTACGTAATAACAATAATAATAATAATAATAATAATTATTATTTTTATGTTTAATTTTGCTTATTCATTTTTATCGATCTCCCTGTTCTTTTTATTTATCTGTGTTTTCGTTTAAATGGTTAATGCAATATACATTTGTTTTAAAAGTTTCATTTTAAACAAAAGCACATGAATAGAGAGGGGTGGTGAGATGGTGAAAGAGTAGATAGGCAAAGAAAAAACACTGAACAATGAAACTGTTGTATCACTATAATGGACAATAGAATCGATGAAAAATAATTTTTATCAATAATAATACTTAGTGTCGGCTGAAAAATAAAATGTTTTATATGGGATCACGTAACATCCATTGGTAGAATCAAAATTTTATTAACAATTTTAATAAACAGAACGTACGAAATATATATATATAATATTCCTAGGAGATTAATAATTTATTTATTTTATTTATTTATATTACAAAACATGCGCTTTTCGACTAGGATTTTTTAGGAAGAAACATGTGTACACAGGAGATAATTAATTAATTTATTTATTTATTAATTATATTATTGATTTATTATTAAACATACTTTTCGTATAGGATTTATTAGGAAACATTTGTAGGAGATAATTATTTTATTTTTAATAAACATAGAGAGAGAGGATAAAAAAAAAGGGCACACAGGGATTGAAAAAGAATTCGTTTCGATAGAAATTTCACCTTTGCAGCATCAACTTCTTTTATACTACTACCTGCGTTTTGAGAGTTTCTTCCACGAAACGGGCTGAAAAATTCGTTACCATTTAAAAATCTTTGCCCTAAACCAGTTCCCTTGCTATCCTAATGCCCTTCATCTTGAATCGAGGGAAGTCCTATTAATTTCTATCACTTTTCAATATTCTTCCTCAACTTCTCCTACAAATTCTCGCATGCTCAACGTTGGTTATAATTTTCGAGTTTTCATTGGACGAGAATGCATTACAAGTCTACCAAACCCACCTTTTTTCACCATTTCCGTTACCTGCTTTACCAACTTTACCAATTTTTTGGGATTCAGTTATTTAGTTCAGTATATTTGAATCGATATATATGATTCTATTGTATCTCATTATGTAAACGTGTGTGTGTATTATCTTACGGTTTGTCCGTTATCCTTTATCCCTTTACCCTTTGCGAACATGAATTCAAAAACCCTTTCCTTTCTCGACCATTTATGCTAGTTACTTTTTCCCCTATTACGACCCCACTTCTTTTCTTTTTTCCAGAAAACGTAGTCCACGTTATCAATGATTATATACTTTCATTATTGTCCTTAATAATAATTATTATTATCATACTATTATATAACTTACATCTCTCTGTAACACGGGATCTTGATAAAAACATGTCTTTTTTTGAGATTGATCATTTTCACGTTGTTGACAAAAGGTTAGCAGAAGTAGGATAACACACCACATTGTATTTCAGTGATTGATGATTTTCATGTTCTAATAAAACAAATAATCAGGTTATAGGGTGGGTGGTTTGCAAGCGTGTAGTAGTGTAATATCGTTGGTAATTTGTCTATAAGATGAACAGATAGATGAAATTAGATGTTTCTTACTTGGTTCACTTTCAATGTAGCATCTTTCACTTTTTTTGGGTCCATTGGTGGTATTATTTCGTCTTTTTCATTTTTCTTCAGAAACTATTTTGTTTGCATATTTGATCACTTAACCATTAAATGGGTACTGTGCAGTATTTCAAAATTCATGCTAAAACATCATTCGTTAAGCAATTTTCACTATTTACACTTTTTACACTTTTTACACTTTTTACACTTGCAGGGTAACTTTCTTCTTGTTTTTTTTTCGTTATTTTAGATCACTATTATTCGAATGTAAAACTCGTAAACTTTATTACACGTAAGAGGGTTAACAATTTGTATATAAAAACTAAAGGAATTTGATTTATTCATGGTGTATTGGAATGTCTTATACCGACATAAGTTTCTCCTGAATGAACAATTTATGACATTTTTCACCTAGCGAGCTCTAAACAAACTAACGCCCTTGCTATTTTAAGTTTCTTCTCTAGTGAGTCCTTTTGTTCAAGCCCTTTAGAACCTACTTTCTCTTTTTGTTTTTCTTTCCAATTCTTCTTCTTCTTCTTCTTCTTACTTTTTTGGTTCGTCAAATAAATAATATCGACATTTTTAATGAACGAACGAGATATATACAATAATAAACAATTAATCAAATATATTTAATTTGTTTTTATTTATTACTAGATAACTATACTATTTATTACTAAATTAACTAGATAATGTTGCAAATACGATTTCAGTTACGGCAACATATATTTGTACACGTTTATTCAATAATTCCCATTATTGATCGGTTGTACGAACACCTCTGTGAATATTAAATAACTAATAAAATTAACAAAACAAAAAAATCAGAAAAATTATCACTCGATACGAATATCGTAATAATTAAATGCGAATGCAACTATGATTTTATTTACACAACTCTTTGATATATTATTATTATTATTATTATTATTATTATTATTATTATTAATGCGTTAGAATGCATTATTTAATGATATACAAAATGGCAAGGAATCGTAAGAAATAATGATTAATTTTTAAATATATTGACGTAATGCGTGTGCCTTGCGTGTTATTGTTGCCAGTTGTTGTTTGGTGGTTGAATTTTCTTTTCGTTCGTTCTGCATTCTCCACTTGCATTACACGTTTTTTCAAGGATTTTTTCCACGCGTATTCGTTTGCTGCACTTCGAATGTTTCCACTTTTTCAGGGCTGAAAATGAAACGTCCTTCGATCGTTATTTTATTCTTGTAAGGGGGAACAAGAAGAAGAAGATAAAAAAAAACACACACACACAAAGAAAGAAAGAACGAAAAAAGAAAAAAGATCGTATAACATTAATATAACTAGATGATGATGACGATAATAATGATAATAATAAAAGTGGAAGAACAATTCGATTGGCATTTTTTAATATTTCTTTTATTTTTTATTTTTATTTTTATTGTTTTCTCCCTTCAGTTCCATATTTATTTATTTTATTAAATTAATTAAATCATTTTGATTAAGACAAATTAAAAAATAAAACAAAAAAAAGAATGAAAGAGAATGAAATACGAATATCGTATTGTCAAAATAATAATATTGTAAAGCAAATTGTGTAAAAAGCAAATTTTAACGAAAATTATTCGCGTATATTATAAATATATATTAATATTAGTAAAAAATAAATAATTTCAATATGAAATAGTTTTAGAAAAGTCTCTTAGTACGTTTTATATCATATTTTACAATTCGATGCGGTGCATGCATTTAACGTGAGACTGCCAACGATGTTTGTGTTTGAATTTTCTTCCACAAATTGGACACTTGAAGGTTGGTTCTTTGCCGCATTCGACTCGTATGTGATTCTTCAAGGAACCTCGCCATAGATAACGTTTCCCACACTGCACGCAGACCCAAATTTTTTCCGAGGTAACTGAAAAACATAAGCAAAAAAAAGAATAGGACAAAATAACGTAGTGTAATGGTGGTAATAACTGCTCGCTAGATTTCATTCGAAATTAATAATTATTAATAAGAAGGTATCAAAGAGAATTTGGACATCAAAAAAAAAGAAGTAGAACTTAATTTTATTAAGTTGGACGTTTCTTCCCTTTATTGGGGACTTCTTCAGCAACTGAATATTTACAGTTAAGCGTCTTTTTTCTTTAAGTAGACATACATTTTTATTTTTATTATAATATTCGAAACACAATGTTTAATAATACAAATTTTTGAACTGTAAAGATTAAGTTGCTGAAGAAGTCCCAATAAAGGGATGAAACGTCCAACTTAATAAAATTAAGTACTACTTCTTTTTTTTTATGTCCAAATTCCCATTTGATACCTTCTTATTGAGAATTTTATTTCTGGACGAGAGAAACAACTGATTAATTATTATTATTCGTCGATAGGTGCATAATTTTCGTGTCCTTTTGTCTCGAATTCTATTCTTTTATACCCTTTTTTTCTTTTTTTATTTTTTCGAATAAAAAGAAATCTTATTTACTCTTGTACTTATACTTTTTTTTTTTATCTCTTTCTTTCTTCGAATGTGAATGTGTGTGTGTGCGTGAATTTTCTTTCTTTGTATACAGTTCTACAATTCTTCTTGAAACATTTTCTTGTGTTCGCGTGTGTATTTTTTTTTTATATAATATAAATTAAATATTAAATAAAATATTTTAAACGTGGTAGAGAGAGTTGCGTTTTTTGTTTATAATGTACAATACAATGAGAGTTAGATTTATAAGTTAGATTTAAACGCAAGAGCTTATCTTTTATTTTTTTTTTTTTTTTTTTTTTTTATTAATTTTTACAACAGCAAGAGCCACATGCACAACCATCCATGGTAGAAAATAATTCGATTTACAGGGATTTTTTTTGTATACGATACTGACTGATCAATGACTGCATCCTATCCTTTGTATTCTTCCTTACCGCATGCGGTACCATCAAATATAATATAATATCATCACGGTTTTTTTCCCAATAATCCTAGCTCCTCTAGAATTTCATGATATTATATCTGTGAACAGAAAAACAGAGAGAACAAAAAAAAACAGGACGAGAAACAAGAAAAAAAAATGGCAGATTAATAAATGATAATTGGAAATTATTCGAAATATCTTGCAGTTTTGTTTCTTTTTCTTTCTTTTCTTTCTTTCTTCTTCTTCAAACTTTCATTCTTCGTTAATCAATTTTTCTTCATCGAAGTCACCCATCGTAATAATCATCGGATTTTCAATTTTTTTCGTGTGCTGAAAAAAAAAAGGAAAGAAAGAAAAAAAGAAAAATAATAATAATAATAATAATAATAATAATAACAACAATAATAATAATAAAAATTACAAATAAAATTGATCGCGATGCGGGGGAAAGGGTGGAGGGGTAAGGAAATAAACAAACGATCGCATTGTTTTTGTTTGTTCCTATTTTTCTTTTTTTTCCCTTTTTTTTTTCCTTCCTTTTCCAGATCTTTTTTTTTTATCAAGTTCGTAATTATCAGTATATCATATTATTATTATTATTATTATTAGTATTAATATTAATATTATTAATAATAGTTTAGGATAAAAAAAATGATTGAACAAACGAACGTGAATATTTTTTTTTGTATACATGAATTCGCGTGTGATATTTTGTTCTTGTTGATTGTTGTCTTACAAGAGGTTGGCCACGCGCCCACTGTTTCCCTTGCAATTAAATTTTCTTGTTATTGTGTTGAAACTTTTTACATATTTCTTATATATATATATATATGCCAGCAGTTCGTATCTTTATTATTTTTTCTTCTATCTTTTCTAACGTATGTTATATATATATATCACTTTTTTGGGAAAAATATAATGGAAAATATGGCGAATTTGTTGTATATCGTAGAATTTTATATTTTATTTTTTTTGTTTTTTTTTTTTAGATTTATACTTCATTATCGATTATTTCTTATTAATTTTTGAAAGAGATTAAA